CAAAGTTTCTTAAAATCAATGGGAATCTCTCCCCTGACTCTGTGCTTTAGGATCAGTCTCTATTACTTTAGGCCTGCCATTATATCCCTGCTTTCATAATACATGGAAGCTGTGTAGTTGATGCAAGATGTTATCATATCCAATAACAAAAGAAGATAAAATATAATTGGGAAACATATGGAATGGAAACCCAAGAAAATTGAATTTATGTGTATTTATCACTTCCTTCCATTGTTTTATCCTCCTGCTTTTTGTCTTTCCCTTAGCCTTCCCTTTTCACTGTTGCTTTTCCTATTGTTCAATGGCTCTTCCTACTCTAGGAAGTCAAATTCATGTTGTCTATTTTACTTCCCTTTATTGAAATGAAGTTAGCACCTGACAGAATGCATAGCTAGTTTTGCCAAATATTATTTTAATCAAGGAAAAATTTGCTCAGTGAGCATATATTTGTTTTTGTCATTTGGACCATTGACTGACCTCTTGTCATGGCTGGAACCAAGCTGTATTGAGCAGCACTTGCTAAATTAAGCAGTTTCTCAATGTCCTAGGACAAAGACAACTTGTAGCAGCGCAGGAACCGGGGCTGAATTGGATAAGGTGAGAAAGTGTGCCATTGAGAAGCTGAACCTAAGCTCATAACTTCTGTGGGGTCAGTCTTTGCTGAAGCATAGAAAGTTAATGAAAGGCTTCAGTTTTTACCTTGCCCTTATTTCACAGCTCTTCTAGCCATGTGAATTCCTGACACCTCTTTTATTAGACCAACTAGATCCAAAAAAAATTCTTTATTTGCAAGCTTTCAGGCGCACATGCCCTTCCTTAGGCATAGGAGAGTACAAAGCTTGTAAAATTTCTCCCAGGTGGAAATGAAAATTCCTATTACACAGGAGAGCTGAAAGATGGTGCAAGATCTCCTGGTTGGAAAAGTAAATTTTATGCAAATTAGGCTCAGATAAAAACTTTCCTGTAAAATATGAATTTTCATTTCCACCTGGGAAAAATTTTACAATCTTTGCACTTTCCTATGCCTGAGGAAGGGTGCATGTGCCTGCAAGCATGCAAGTAAAGAATTTTTTTGCAACTATCTCATTGGTCTAATAAAAGATATAATCTCTGTTGAGAGTTCTGATTGCTTTTGCTTGTAGACTAACATGGCTACAACCTGTATCCCTGACACATCTTTTGATGTTTCTCTTGGAATGTCCAAGGTTCCCCCTTTTCATTCACTTGGTCCTGGTTTATATATTCTATTACCCTCATAGCATCTATGGATTAGGCTTTCTGCAAACTTTAATAAATATAAATTGATTTGAGGCTGAGGCCATAGGCATGTTGCTTTAAGGAATATTCAAAGACTTGAAAGTATCCTGCTTAGGATGATGCTATGGATCTTTGAGATAGGATGGCAGTTCTGAGAGTCAGTGGAGCTAGATTTGTTTATTCCAAGGAATCCCGTGTTGCCCATTCCTAGTTACACTACTGCCTTCTCCTTCCCTTCTTGCCCTCATCCTGTATACTCTTTGCCTGACACTTGGCCTCCTGGTTGCACATTTTTTTTATAACAGAGTGAAGTTTTTCAGGTGCCACTCACCCTATGCCAGGATCTTTCTTCTCATTTTGACTTTAGCAGTGTTGACTAAAATTCATCCCTCAGTTCATCGTTTCATGGAAGATTTACATATATGGTATTCTTTGTCTGTTTTGTGACTGCTGTCTGCATCCTTCTTGTAGGTGACCGTAAGGATTTCTGGTTAAGAGACAGTGAAGAATAAAATAAAAAGAAACTGCTCTTTACAGATTTTAGTACTGCAGATTCATATTAATTCTAGGCTGTATTGTTCATGGGATCAGCACAGGAGCTGTAGCTAGCTTTCAGGAACAGGTTAGATTTTATTCATAAATAAAGTAAGGAGAGGGGTAACTGGGAGACAACTCTGTTATGCTACTGCTTGGAGCCTTTGCTTCTGACCACCTGCCACCATCAGCCACTTCTCTCCAACATGTTTATGTTTGTACAAGCTTCTTTAAGGGATTGCCCTTACAGGCTGATGTTTCCTGAAATCAAAGCAGCTTTGGCATACATTGCTTGGAGTTAGCAAGATTGGTGCTGCTGCTGATAATTAAATATTTAGCTTTGGGGATATTCATAGTATCTTCCCATTTCTGCTGCTGAACAGAGAATCTGCAATTTAAAAAGTTAAGCAAGCAGCGGTGACAAGTTTTTCTGGAAATAGGCCAAAGGCATGGATGAATGCCTTTTGTCATAGGTGAACAATATTTATGACACGTTAGGTTATGAGATGGTGGATCTAAAGGTTTTTGTTTTTGTTTTTTTTTTAACCAAAGGTTTGACTGTGACACAGAGGTTTTGCAGGATGTAGGGTAGCAAAGCTGTGGGAAATAGTGATGCATTTCCTTTTCTGAAAACAAATGTTGAAAACCAAGCAGATAAAAGCAGGATAGGGGAAGCATGAAGATGTTCAAGTTCTTTGTAATGCTGGAGTTACCTAAAAAAGACAGTCATAGTTTGTTTACTCCATGACTTCTTTCTTTTTGTAGGACTGATATTGGTTGCAATATGCCAGTTTGTACAGAATAGGTGTGAACTTCCAGTAAATAAGTTAGTAAAATTCAGAATAAATGCTTTGTTAAATCAAAAGATACTTGAATTACATTACTTGCTCATGTTTGACAATCTTTGATTCTTGAGGAGCTATTGGCAATAAGTTCTTATTATTAGCTGATGGGAACTTGTTGACTTTGTCTTGTATTGTTAAACTTTGTCTTATTGTTAAACTTTGTCCTGTGTGACCTTTGTGTACCAGAAGTATTGTATGTACTTGAATACACAATGACCCTGTATATTAGACAGACCCCCAATAATTAGATTCCATACATGGAAAATTTGTAAATTTGTTATAATTTTCCACGTGTAGAATTTAATTTATCAGAGTGTTTTTTTTGTCCTGAATTCACCCTTTTCCCGCTGCTACAGCAGGGAAAATAGTGGCCGGGGAGGGTGTGGGGGCAAAAATAGGTTCCCCCCCACCCTCTGCCCCCCCCAACTTTCTTCCCTCTGCAGCCTTCCACCCCCCACCCAATTATTGTTAGATCCTGCTCAGGCTCTGTTCCCTCCCCAAGCACAATATGGAAGTGAGCTGCATGTGACGCTAAGAGGGGTGAAGGAGACAGAGAGAAGGGCCAAAACTGCTGAAGGAAACAGGAGACTGTTGTGCGTTTGGCTCTGGTCCTAACCCTGATTGCTGCAAATTTCAGCACAGGTACTTCATAAATACAATTTTGAGCACCACTTGTGCACCTACTTGTACATAGTACAAACTGTGCATGATATTAATCCAGAGCCAAAAAGCTCATGACTTATCAGAGAGTTCATTCAGCTGGGCCCCAGCAGAGTCAACAGTGTTTCAAGTCATACTGACCCTGCAGCCCGGCACTGCTCAGTATATGTGTTTATTCCAGATCCTCTGCCACAAAGGATCAACATGCTAACTAGCCCCCTACTTGTGACTGGAACTGGGTGCTTGTCACAAGTCCTGGAACCGTCCAAGAATTTATATGTACATGAGCCTCAGGGCTGCTTGCTCAGTCTCTACCCCATAGAGGGCTGGGCCACATTAATTGCATGCGACAGGCTGAGAGAGGGGGCCACAGAGTTTGGCGATGTTTGCCAGACATCTAGGGCTTGTGAGGAAACAGGAATAATTGGAAATGGGAAAGAGAAGCATTGTACAGCTGTGGGAGTAAAGAGGAAGTTGAAATGTATTTGATGTAGTAGTTCACCATGACCTGAAAAAGTGTTGGTGCTGAAAGAGATGGCAGACAATGGGCACTATAGTTTATTCAGATGGGTTGCACTAACCTAGTCTTGTGGTAGAGTCCCATCAATATGATTGCTTATATGGGCTTTGTTTTTTGTAGCCATGCTCAGCATGGGTTGTATTCAATCAGCTTCATAGTTGGTTTCCACGACTGAGCACATGCTGCTTCTAGCAGCAATTTAATGGTAGCCAATATATCTGATGAGGGGAGTGGGGGTAGGTGTCTGCTGGTATGTGAATATAAGACAACAGGATTTTTTTCCCCATACTGATTTTGGTGGGGGGCGGGGGAGACCTCATCTTATATTCAAGTAAATATGGTACATCTAACCGCATGCCACATAATAATAAATAAAAGTGCCTAAAGTATTTTAGATAATGGAAAGAACCCTTTTGTTTATAGTTCATAGAAATAGTATTTTATCTGCAAGTTCCAAATTCAGTGATATGTACATATTGGTAAATGAACTTTTTCAGAAAAGCAGCTATGAAGTTAGTGAGCAGAGTTGCTTTTATTTATGCTAAGGACAGATGTAAACTGTAATCAGAGTTGTATTTTAGTCATAGTGGTTTTAAGTACTACACAGGTGCTTTTAGATTTTCATATTAATAGTTCAAAGTGACGTTCAAGATGTGATAATTTCTTCAGATTGTGAGTAATTAGCTGAGATACTTGGTTTTCTTCCAGTGTAAACTAATGCTATTGCTATATATACATTTTTTAGCAGCCTCCTTCAATATAATACAAATATATCCCTCTGCCAGTATGGTACTTGGCAAAATGGTAGAAGGACTCTGAATTGTTTGTGTTTATAGCTGGAATGTCAAACCTTCAAGTGTTCGGTGGAAATTTAGAAGTATTTTAGTTGAGGGGGTGATTTGGTATAGGGCAAAAAACACTTGGTGAAAAGCAGAGGTGTGTTTTTTGTTTTGATCTGCTAACGTCTTTGTGACTTCTTACAGCCCTTTTCACTTTCTTCATTTTATTTTAATTTAAATTGCTGTTCTCACTGGCTGTATATAGCACCCTGAGATATACAGTTGGGAAATGTTACATAAACACTCATGTTCTTATTTAGTATTAATAAGTGTATTGTGAAATCTTATTTTAATTCAAATGAAAATTTTAATTGACATTAAATCTTATTTTTAACTTTTTCATAGCTGAAAACCTCTGTTAATCATGGAACCATACTTTGGTTTCAAGCACATGCAGCAGGACTGTGGAGTTCATCTCAAACTTGCAAGTGATGAGGCACAAAAAGCTAGAAATGCACAAAACTCCAAAGCAGGATCTTATGGTGTCAGTATCCGAGTCCAAGGAATTGATGGTCATCCATACATAGTGCTGAACAACACTGAAATGGGGTATTTGTCAGAAAATCCTCCTTTATCTGAAAATGGGCAACAAGTTGCATCTCAGACAGATGATGGATCAGCACCAATCTACAGTACTACTCTCAAACTGGGTGAGAAAACTAGTGAAGAGCCAAAATGTCGTGAAACGCAAGACACACACTACAGTGCACTTAAAACCTTGAAGCAGAGTATTCGCAATGCAGAAGAGAATGGAATCCCAGATTTTAGTGATGGAACATTAAAGTCCTCCAATCTTTTGAACTTTCAAAAACACCCTGAGATTTTGCAGCCCTATGATCCTGAAAAAAATAATTTGAATTTCAGTAGTTATCCACCTCCTGTGTGCAATAAATCTAAAGATTTTAAAGATGAAGGTAAGATTGAAACAAAGCCTTGGGTTTCCTCATCTAAACTGGTGTCTCTGCAGAAAACAAGCCCACAGCTTGTGGAGTCAACAAAATCAAATATGAGAGTGATACATTTGAACAGGTCTGTAATAGTAGAAGACCAAAATAAGCAAGTGTCAGAGTGCCCCAGTACTATTAGTAGTTCAGATGACAAGCATCCGTCAGAATCACTTTTATCTAATGGAGGATCCTCACATGTTAGCCCTGCAGGCCATCAAGAGACAAGAAAACCTAGACCAGATGTTCTTCCTTTTCGCAGACAAGATTCAGCTGGACCAACACTGGATGGGTCACAAAGATCATCATCTTCATCAACCACTCCTACTTCTGCAAATTCCTTGTATAGATTTTTACTTGATGACCAAGAGTATGCTATCTATGCGGACAATGTTAACCGTCATGAAAACAGAAGGTATATCCCATTTTTGCCTGGAACTGGCCGGGATATTGACACTGGGTCCCTTCCTGGAGTAGATCAGTTAATTGAAAAGTTTGATAAGAAAATTGGTTCTCAGAGAAGTGGTAGGTCAGGAAAAAGGAATAGAATTAACCCAGATGATCGTAAAAGATCAAGAAGTGTTGACAGTGCCCTGCCTTTAGGCCTGGAGGTAAATTCAGATTACTTTGATGAATACAGTAAAAACTTGGGTAAATCGACTGAACACTTGTTAAAACCATCTAAAGTTTGTCTTCATAAGCAGTTGTCTCAAGACCGAAAGTTTTCTTCAACTGAGGTACAAGCTGTTGCTCGAACTGTTGGAAAATTGCAAGCAAGTGGTAATAATGTTCAGAACAGCCAGTTCAGTTCTTTGCAGCATCACAAACCAAATAAAGTGACTGGAGAGAATTTAACTATTAGATCATCCACACTTCCAGGACAGAATAAAAAGGAAGAAGATAAAACAGTAGCTTCTACTCTACTATTGCCAAACCGATTTACAACTCCCCTTGATGCAGGATCAAAGAAAATTTCAGTAAAAACATTTTCTTCTGCCTCTGGTACACAGGTAATTTTCAGTCTGTAGCATGTTAGCTTTCCATTTACCTGCACTGAAACTCACATTGTACACCATATCAAATGCATATTTTCTGTGTCGAATCCTGCAGTTTCTAATTAGATCATAGTCCGGTTTTGTACAAAAGGAGCTTGGCCAGTGGATTAATATGTAGGACTGAGCTCAGTAACTATAAATATGAACATTTTTTCCACTAGCTAATATTATAAAAGGCACATATAAATGACCAGTATCATATGCCTGTTTGAGGGAAGGATTTAACCTTTGAGCATTATTGTTAAAATTGTGGTAATGATGCCCAAATATTTTCTTCTTCAGCAATCCCTTGCAGTCGAGGATTTTTGTCTTATTTGTGGGTCCAAAGATGACTGACTGAGGCCAATTCGGGATTGACAGACTTTTGCAATTTGGGAACATGTTTCCATGCACAGTGGGTGGCTCCAGATTCTTAATTTGGTCAGCAACATGCTGTTTCTACCACTCCCACTTTTCTGTCTCCTGTTGTCATTGTACTGCTACCTAGCACATGCACAAGTGGTGGATAGAGGAGTAACTTTCAGGGAAGGTGAGCTGTGAAATAAGCAGGGGTAAATCTGATGAATAAGCAGTTGCAGACCAAGCAGCTGCAGCATCCACCAGGATGTGGTGGATACAGCAGATAGCAA